TCAATTGTCCTTAATTTGGTTCATAAACCTAATAATTATTACCTGTTACGTAAAAAGAAATTTGAAACCTATGGATATAAGTAGAAGCAGAAAATCCGTATATTTTCAAGTATTCTCATACCGGAACATCGATAATCACTTCCTGGAATGTTCTTTTTTTTTTTTTACGGTAATATGATCGTTTTGTTGGCTGGAAATGTTAATCTTTGCTCAGATAATCATTATTTAATCATAGATAACAACCGATGGATCATCCCATCTGTAATTTTCTTTTTTTTTTTTTTCTTTGCAACTGTTATAATGACAGAAGTTTTTAGAAAATTTATATAATCTATCGAGATAAATACATTGTTAAAGAATTTACAAAAGATTATTAATTTTAGAAAAAATTTCCTGAAAATGTTCTTTTCAACTAATCCTGAAAGTGTTCTAACCAATAAAAATATTAATAAGAAAATGTTATCGTTATTAGTTTACTGGAAATTTGAATAATTCTCCTTCTCTCTATACTTTTCTCCCTTTCTTATATTATATTTAATATAGTCTGAAAGATTATTACCTGCAATTAATCTATCCTAATTTCATTTATTTTTGTGATTTATGTACAAAAAAACAAAAATAAAAAAATTTGCTAAAAATGAATGATATGTTATCTTTATTAGTTTAGCAGAAAATTTTTAACAATTCTCTTTCCCTCTTTCTCTCCCTCTCTCTCTCTCTCTCTTCCTTTATGCTTTTCTCTCCTTCCAATATTATATTTAATATAGTCCGAAAGATTATTACCTATAATTAATCCATCCTAATTTTAATTATTTTTACGATTTTTAATACAAAAAAAAAAATTTTAATTTCACTAAAAATGGATGAATATGAAAGTTTTATCGAAATAAATGAGAATGAAGAAGAGAAATAACCATAAAACATTCCACTTATACATACATATAATACTTAAGGATATACAGTCATACTCGAACATTCTAATAGTTCTTGAATAAATGCCGCCGTCATCATTGATTACAGTAAAAATGGAATTTTGACCATGACAATTTGATTGAGAAAAAAAAAACGATAACCTATGTAAATTATTATCATAGAAGTAAATAGATAAGGAAATAGAATTAAAAAATAAAATAAAAAGATAGAAATAGAATAAAAAGAAAAAGATAGAATAAAAAAAGAACTAAAATTTTTTTCCTTTTTTAAACTTAATATAAATATCTATGCAAATTATTATCATACAATAAATAGATAAGAGAATAGAATTGAAAAATAAAATAAAAAAATAAGAAAATAGAATAAAAAAAAATGGAACAAAAAGAAAAAGATAGAATAAAAAAAGAACTAAAATTTTTTCCTTTTTTTTTGACTTAATATAAATATTTATTCTTTTAAGCATATAATTAGCAATAATTTGCCGTTAATGTAATTATGAATTGTTTTTGTGAAAAATTTCATTCTTAAAAAAAAAGGAGAAAAGATATGAAATAAGTTTAGCTAATTTTTTGCCTTTTTAATTAATTATTTTAGTAAGAAAAAATTTTTTTCACAATATAACTTTGATATATACTTTTTTTTTCTTTTCTTTTTCGTTTCAAAAAAAATATCAAATTAAATTATCTTTACAAATCCACTGTACCGTATTCTAAGACCCCTGCAGTAAATCAGGTAGGAATTGCACTGTTGGATATCATCAAGGTTTATAATACCTGTATAACTTTATGCTTTATTATTTGCTGGGAATTTTTTCCTATTCTGAGAAAAATAAAGGTAAAAATCTTACACCTGCAAATTGAATCCTTTAATGAGAGATTACTTTGATGTACTATAGAAAATGAAACTGAATACTATAAGCGGTATCTTCTTTGTAAGTAATTTTTTTTTTTTTTTTTAGTAACTCAATGATATCACTATTTTTAATAATATTAAAATTTAAAATAATAATACATTCCTAATTTTCATTTTATAATTTTATAAAATATAATTATTGCATAATTTAATTGTGTTACAGGTAGTCAATGATTGTCCCCTCTTCTTTTTTTTTTTTTGCATTCGATTAACAAATTATCAATGGATTGATAACTTTTTATTACAATTAACATTAACCAAAAAAAATAAATGCTGATAAACATTTCAAATGATAAGGAAAGATTAAATTGATAATGTGTAATTGATATAGTGAAAGAAGGTTAAGCAGTTAAATTTTACAAGTAAAGTTTGAATTAAATTTTACAAAAAAAAAAAGGATGAATAAGTGGAAGATGAAAATTTTCATTTTCATTCAATTGTTAAATTAGTGTTAATGAATTTTACGATTACAAATTAATGGATATCTTTTATTGTAATGAAGTATTTTAATGTAATAAGTAAATTGTAAGCTATTGGATAAAAGCTAAGTTAATTTTTTCAGCCTTAATGCTGATCATTTCTTCCAAAGGAAACAAACAGACAAACATAATAATCAAACTGTGACATCCAGCAATCCAACGGAATAATATTTACTTATATATATTCATACCGTATCCATATTGCCATAAATCTAAGAAGTCCCATCTACTACTCCTCCTACTTGTCATGCGAATCCTTAAGTAGTCCAGTCAGTCAAACAATACAAATATGTATACAGATTGATTTCCGTGCGAGATTGGCCCATCAACAACTCTTTCATAAGCTAGGATAGATGTGTAACATGAAAGAGAGAGCATTAGATCCTGGGATAGGCTTCTCCTCACTAACTTAGCCTATCCTCCCTCAGGCTCCATCAAAAATTATAGAGGGAGCAAGCCTCTTACAAATCTTATTATATAAAAACCAAATCATAATATAAGCGTAAAATTTATGTATAACTACTAAAGCTTACTTGATAGTATAAATTTCAAAAATAGCAAACTATGAAAGTTTCTCTAAAAGAGCCAATTACTTATTATGCTTCAGGTGATAAATGTATATTTCAGTAAGTATAGGCAATCAAAGATGATAGTTGAAAATGACGATTGCTTTTTTTCTTTTTTTTTCTCAAGTGGAATAAAGTAAAATTGTCACCTATTATTGTCACCTATTAATGATTAAGCTATATATAAGCATAAATATAACCATTTTATTTATACGGTACTTTTAGTTATTTTAACAATTTACATCATCCACTATTCATTCATTTAGAGTTGATTAAGGTTGATATTGAATTATGAATTATGGAAGTATAGTATGATGATGATGATGATGATGATAGAGACATTTTCGACTTGCTAGGACTAATTTGCATAGAGCAATTGAATAAGCATAATAATAATGTGAAATGAATGGACTAGTGATGCCCATGAAAAAGGATTTTTCGTATAGGCTATTTGTAAGCATAGGCATATGGACTAGCTGTGTAAATTGAGGCCTTCAAACAATTACTTACTGGCCTCAATTCAATCTGTAAATACATAATGTAAGTGATGTTGATAATCTATTATTTGCTATTTGCTTCACAGTGAATAGCATCTTAATATCGGAAGAGACGGAAGGAACGAGTAGGAGCGCAAAACGACAGATGCCGATGAATTGAAAGGCGCAAAATGATGATGAATGACATTGATTCAATCTATTTCAATAAGCAACACTTTTCATCTCATCAATTGCAAATAAGAACTAAACCATAATCATCATTATCACCATCATCATCATCATCATCATTATCATTACAATTGTAATCATAATCATTAATCGTCATTCAAAATGATCTAAAATAAGCCAAGAGATGAATCATCCAAATGAGCCAAGAAGAAAATGAATGAAGAAAGAATAAGATAGGGACTATTAAAAGTAAAAAGAAAAATTAACAAAAAATATCTAGCAAAACTGTTTAAAATTATAAAAGGTCACCTTAAAGTCTTTTTTTTCTTTTTTTTTTTAAAAAAAAAGAAATGGACAAAATCTTTTATCCAACTAAATGTTTTTCCATATACTGTAACTCTTTTTTCAAGTATTTTTTTTTTTTTATCTAAACATTACAACGATATACATTCAAATAATCATTTTAAATTTTACTTATAAAAACCATATTCCTTCAAAGAAATACTTTTCCAGAAGAGTTTAAGTTATCCAATCATTAGTCAAATCAATCGAATAAACTTCGGTTTTTGTACAATTGTCAAAAAATTTGAATAATGATAGATTAAATTAATGAAACTTTTTTAAAAAATTTAAAAGAATCAACTTTATGCCAAATATATTTAAATATTGATGACTAAATTATTGAAACTCTTTCAAATAATTTAAACGATTCACCTCCTTCCAATTCCTTTGAAAATGTCATCATGGCTATTTATCGTTGATCAAGCAATGTCACCATAATCCTATTTATTATATCTTCTTTTTCTCAGGCGAAAAATTTTGACAGGCAATGTAACATTTCAATTATAATTGTTTCATTTTGATTCTGTTTGAGAAATTTAGAAATTTACTGAATACTTTTCTTCAAATACTTTCAATTTTTTAGCTTCATTTTTAATTTCAAACACTTTTATTAAATACTTTTCTAGCTTTTTTTTTTATTTTTTTTTAAAAATTTTAAATTAACCAATTCCTAACCAAATGATTTGGACATTTTTTTTTTACCTTCAGAAGTTTCTTCTTATTAACAAGTATAGATTAGAAATTATACCTGTATGAAAGTAAACAGTAGAACAATACCAATCAATCAGTTATATTTGTAATCGCTTATTTTTTTTCCCATAATTATTTAACAGTTAAATTTCATTGTTTAGTAGAAAATCATAATTTGAAACAAAATTTGCATATTCAAATTGATAAAAAAATTGATGATGATGATGATGATGATGATAGAAAAAGTTTTATTTATCTAAATAGCAAATAAATTTGTTACAGGTTGTACTGATATGGAAAATATGCGTAATTATATCAATGCTTTAATTATTGCAATTATCATATGCATCGGTTTGGGTAAATTTTTTATAAAATAAAATTTTAAATCTAACTCATCAAGTTTTTGTTAGATTAATCTCTGCATCATAAATTTTGACTAAAGTTTAAAAAAAAAAAACTAAATATTAGATTAAACTTTTGAGTTATAGACCCTTTCCTGGTTAGCACCAACATTTTATCCTTTAAATTAATGAATTTAATAAAGTTTGTTTCTTTTTTTTATTTTTTATTTTTTAAAAAAATGAAAAAAGTTTTTTTTAGCTATAACAATACCAGTATTATGTTTATGTATCTGTTTAATTCGTTTCTGTTATATTGCTCGTAAGCAAACGAAACCAGAAACGATGAAATATTCAAGAGAAATAATCCAAGGTTTGTTCTTATTAAAAAAAAAAACCTAGCTAACATGCTTAAGTAAGTTAGCATGCTTTTTTAACTGTATAAATTTTAATCATTCCTTAAAAACTAATCAAAATTGTATAATATGTTGAAAAAAAAAGAATTGTCAGCGCTTTTTGTCATTAAGAATTTTCTAATTTGCATGAGGATAAGTACGTTTCGGTTGCATTCATAATGCAGCTATTTCTTCCGCACACCTGTCAAATTCAATGAATAATTTGAAATCAAAAATTGCCACACCTGTGATTGATCCGACGACGACATTCATCGATCTGTCTAAAAATGGACAACAAATTACAAAGCAACAGGTATACCTTCAGTAGTGTTAAATGAGAATTGAAAATAAAAAATAAAAAATAAAAATTATCATTTAAAATATCCAATTATTATATTAATGTATTGCTGCCTTTTAAAGTATTGAATATATTTAAAGAATTTTTAAATACAATAATTTATTAGAAGTTTATGATATTATTATTCTAGCTAAATCAATTAAGAAATGAACAAGAATTGAAGAGTAATGATTTTTCAGTAACCGGTGACATATCTAAAATATGACAATCATTTATAAAATTAACATATCAAATTACCATTTGTTGGATTGTAAATTTAGCAATTATCATTTATTTATTTTCCAATTTTTGTTAATAACATTTAATAATTGTGTGAAAATGTTGCAAAAAAAATCATTTAATAAAGTAAAGATGTCACAGTAAGGTATGTCACACAGTAAAGTGTCACAATAAAGATGTTTCAAGTAAAAGTGTCACAAAAAGTAGCAAATTAAAACAAACAAGCAATAACAAACAAGGTTTTTTTTCTTTTTTTTTCATCAATAAATAACAAATATATAAATAAATTTCCGTAAAAAAATTGTGATAACTGATAACAAGAAGAAAGATTACAATCACTACTTTATCATATATGAAGGATAAATTGAAGGATAACTGATAACAAATTGAATATCATATATGAAGGATAAATTGAAGGATAACTGATAACAAGAAGGAAGATTACAATCACTACTTTATCATATATGAAGGATAAATTAATTTCATTTGTTAGAAAATAATTTGAAATTATTCGTCCCTTTCTTTTTTTTTTTTCATTTCACTTAAATTATTTTGTGATATTTTTTTATTGATGAATTATTTATCATAGAATAGAATTTACAAACAATTACATAATGATATGTCACAAAAAAACAACTAAGGTAAAAATGAAAATTGAAGACTTTTATTTATTTATTTTTTCCTTCGAAATTGATAGAGATTTTCGATATTTGTAACAAAATGTTTGAAAACTTTTTAGGAATGATAATATATAATTAATTGAGTTTATAATATTTATTCGTATACGGAAAATATTTCATGTATGAGAATTATTTTTTGATGATAAATAGTTGTGAAAAATGAAGATTTTAAAATGAATTTTACACAAATAAAAAGCTGATTTGTACATTTGGATACAATTTAATTTAATTAGAATTAGAAATTTGAATAGCTTAAATAGTTTGATCAAAAAATTGCTAATATCAAGTAATGAAAATATGAAAGTAATATTAACAATGATAGTTTGGAAATTTTGTAATTTCTTAGAAAGATATAATATTTGTATCAATTTTTTGCAATGCTAATCTAAAATATTCTATCCAATAGTTTTTTTGTCAAAGAATGGAATCGATGAAAGTTGACAATTCTTTGAAAATGCAATAGTATGCATATCCAAAAGGGAAACGTATAATTTGATTGGATGAATTTCTCAGTTTTTACAGTAAAATATTCTTTACCTTTCATCTTAAGTCAAACAATCCAGTGATAGATCGTTTTTTTTTTTTTTTTTTTGTCGCCCTCATATAGTGTCACATTAATTTCCGCAAATGGTATTGCACTAGCTTTTGCTAAGTAAATGTCATCTATTGTATTGGAAGAAGCACTCCTTAAACTTCAAGCAGTTCTATTCATTATTTGAAATATTAAATAGCTATACGGTATAATGAGGAATGTGATAAAGAGTAACAGAAGAAATGATAAGAACTACGATCTAGGAAATGAGATGCAATAGATTCCTGATAATTTGGAATCTCATAGCAACATCATCATAGTTGACAGATGGCCCAATTGACGACTAACGTATGACAATTTGTTCTAAGCGTTGTTTGTCAAAATTTTCTGACCCTCTTATTTGACAAATAAATCGATGATAACACTATTTCTTTAATCGAAACAATCTTATCCTGAAAAATTGTTAATCGATAGATAATTCTTATCTTTCGAATTTGTTCTATAAAATGTCTTTACTGAGGAATTTGCATATTTCCATATGCTAAAATGCTATAGTTATCTGTTTCCCTGCTTATAAAGTTTCAAGAAATTTCATCATTTTCCTACAGTTTTTATTCCTTACCAACCTCAGAACAGGTATCATCAAGTTGAAATCAAATATTTGAAATGAAATTTTATATAAATCTTAGCATATCTATATATTAATCGATAGAAATATGGCACAGATTGTTTTGATCAATGATAATGATTATATTTGTGAATATTAAATTTAAATTATAAAGAATGGATATAAGTAGGTAACAGTTAGCTGATGTGACAACTAATACTTTAAGTCTTGTCATCAAAAAGACTACAATACAATTTCCCATATCATTTTTATTTCCTTGAAAACACAGTATTCATTCATCATTAGATATTAGGCCCGAAAAAGAATGGATAAAAGAATGATGACCAAAAAAAAAAAATAATAAACTTAGCAAGTTAGCATTTTCGATGATATTTTTCCAATGCTTCATTTTGATATATTGATGACGAAGCCATGATAGTTTTGCAAAGTATCGTGTTTCGCAACAATACTGTCACCAATTGTCACTTCAAGCAGACACAATTAACTGGTTCAACTTGCATAACTAAATTGCTTTCACTCTCCAACAACTTAATGATTCGTGCAAACTTTAAATGATCCAAAGTATGATGATAATTAATAATTAGCGGTATAGGTATGATTTGATAGAACTTGTGGTTTCTTGGTTGACACATATGCTAAAGCCATATCAACATATTCATCTTGTTTTTTTTTCGAAAGGTATGATAGTTCACAAAATGTGATATTTATGAGATTATATCTTTTTACCTCAATTATTTCTTGCTTTATTTGTAATGGTTATATTTAAAATTATTCAGTAATTAATCATTCATCTTTCACACTACTAATTAAGGCTCTATGAATATGGTAACAGATAAGTTTGTTAAATCAATCGTTGAAAAGTTTGTCAAATTTTCTCATCGATTAACTTACAGGTAAAAAAATTGAACAGAAATCAAAGTGATTAACATAATTAACATATTTGTAAACATAAAATGAAAGAAATCTTCATACAACAACACATCAGAGCATCCAGGTTAACCAATAAGGGTATATCAGAGCATCCAGGTTAACCAATAAGAGCATATTAGAGCATCCAGGTTAACCAATAAATGCTTATCATATAGCTAGTTAACTATTAAAAATCTCAGTCAATATCCTAAAACTTCCAGTTCGTTATTCAAGAAATACGGAAAATCGAAAAGGATTAACAATGAATATGATTTTTTCAAAATGAATTCTATCTCGAAATATTTTATATCAATGTGATGATAAATTGTATTAATAATCGCCTTATAATGAGAAAAAATATCATTGTTAAACTTATTATATATCATTCATATACCGGATAAGGTATGTATTAAATGCTATTAAAGAGATGAAGTATGGTATAGAAATAAAACTAAGACTTACCAATTATCATGATATAAGACTAGATAAGAAAGAAGAAGTTTGTTCGATTAAGTTTGTCCTGGTTAATCTCTCTTATTGGTTTATCATCGAATATCCCATTGAATTTCTTCCAACATTTATCCTGATATAATTTAAAAACTATTTCAAATATACGTTCGTAATATTGCCAACAAAAAAAAAGGAATGGTTTAGGCATGGAAGAATGCAAAGGAACTATTGCGCAACTGATCCGATTCGTATGCACTGATCGAAATTTACGGCAAATTTGTCGTCCTGTATTATTTTATGCTTTTATATTTTATAGTATAAAAGTTTCAAATTCAAATATCCGAATTGTTTCTCATTATCATATCCAAAAAATCTTCCTAATTCATATAAATCCGATAGACATTTAATGTTGTAAGCATTTTGTCACCGCAGTACAGCAAAAACTGAAATGATCCATGAAAGATTGAAAATTGTTGGAGGGGAAAAAAGTATGAATAAATGAAAAAGCAAATTTATTATCCGAAGTTTAATATTTCAGCTAATCCAAAAAGGTTTACCTCATTTTTGGAAATATGATCGGATATAAACGGATCTCATAACATTTAGTTAATGATCATCGCCTCATTTACCTGTTTGAAAACAATTACTGTCCATGATCCTATGTACAGTAACACGATATTTCTAGATAAAAGAATGCATATCATTAATAATTCCTGAAAAATATTGATCTTGATTATTGATTTAAAAATTACTAAATTAATGATCACTGATTAATGATCTTTTCAGAAAACGGTCTAGTTCTTTGCTCAATTTGAAATACTACTATTTGATTTACCGGAAGTTAAACTGTTCGATTGAGAGTTAGCAGTGTGGAAAATTGTCATCTATCTCAATATCTGCCTCAGTGTTCAACAGTATCACTATTGAAATGACAATGTAAAGAATAAGTCAAAGTAGTCCACGAAAAAGAAAGTGGATAATATTTGGAAATTGAAAGATTAGGGTAACGAGTAAATCCTGTCATATCATCCAGAAAGTCTCATTACAGCTATCTCTCTATCTTACAACACTTCTTATCATAAATGCTAATCCTGTGATAACTTTGGTTGTCACCAAATCATGAAAATTGGAGAGAAATTTTATTAGCTGATATTATTTTAAGCATTAACATTAACTACAGATAAGTCTTATCAGTAAAGCATAGTACTTAAGGAATAAAATCATGTTATTAAATAATGAAATAGTAATTTCGATAAATGTTAAATCTATGATGGTAGAGAATGCAATAGGAGTTTTTCTGAGATATTTCAGTTGCTAAATAATTCAGATACACGTGACTGACGTTAATATCCTAGTAGATGCTATCAATCCTGATACAATCGACACTTCTTACATCCTCATATCTGATCAATAATATATATCATCAACGATCTATGCATTAAATATGCAACCTAATAGTGAATCATGATCATATATGTCACCATCCTTACTCATACAATTATGCGTGCAACAAATAATATCATATACCTATCATTTGTCTCGATAGTTTTTTGAGTTAGCTAATGTAATCTGAACATCTTTTTTTTTGATAGTATTATAAAATGTGACAAACTTGGCCAATTTCTTACTTATCATTTTTTGAATGACATTTAATTTCAATTATTATATGATATTGTGAGGAAGAAATACCTCACCAATGAATTATTATGACCTTTGTTAGCATCTTCTAATGATTGCCGACTTGTGAATGATCGAGATAATAGATAAAATACTACTTGCTAAGTAGCCTTTGCTTGACCCTATTTACTCCGACACTGTTTTGTAGAGGATGTGATGAATAATACTATTTCTTAAAGTCTCAAGGTGATCGATTGATTGAATGACCTCAGACCGGGTCTTTGCTGGACACTACGGCAAAAGGTGTGAAGTGATGATTAGTGAGAGAAGCAGCAAGAGTACAAAAAGGGGGCAAAAGTTTATGTATATTTTTTACACTTCTTAGTAACACTCGACGAGTAGGTCAGCGAGTAAAGTTGTAGTTGTTCTCACGTGAACTTTGAACCTGAAGATTAAATGGCTATCACGTCTCTCGCGCAAAAATCATTTTTTCTGCAAATATTCGATTTTTTACATTCAAAATGACGAATAATGGGATAAAATTGTAATGCTTTTGTATTCATGCAATTAAAGATGGAACTATTATTTGCTGCATGCCACTACTGCATGCAATGTGCAAGAAGTATATAACGTTTGAACGTGGACAAATTGGAGAAATGATTTTAACGGATGATTCTAAATGCAAGCATGCAACTAATTCATATTCATGTATCGAAGTATCCAATGTAACAGATATGTACTGGTCACTTGAAGAAGAAACAAATTGATAGTTCATGCCTGACTACAGAAAGGCTTTCCAGCAGGAAAATATTATAACCGTTGCTTCTGTAACTGTTTCAGAGAAATAGCATTGAGTTACCTGTTGCAAGCAATAAATTTGTTCTTAACATATCGTTTGGCAGTATCAGTGATATTGGGAAATCTTTCGGGAGTATAGGATAGATGATTATGAACACAATCATTTATAGGTTTTCATTATCGGAACGAATCATTCGAAGCAATGATAAATAGATAAGTCTAGTCGAGAAGAATGCTTTCTCTTCCTTTTTTCTCCTCTCCACTTAAGATGACCCTTTATCATCCAACTTTTTATCATCTACATCGCATACTGTTCCACGTTTTTCGGGCTCGTCAATTTGTTTTTTCAATTCCTCCATTGCTTCTCTCTCCATTTTCTTGATATCCTCAATCGTCATATCGTACCATCGATCGATCCAGCAGTATAACTCCCTGTAGGAAGTGAGCATGTTGTCCAGTTTTAATCATCATTAGGCTAATAATGTTATCCATCATTGATCTAGACACGCTCTTCTTTTTGAGTTGTCACCTTGTCGCCCTCATATGCATCTTGCTACTTAAAACTACAGACGATATGACTATAAATGACGAAACAAGATTAGGTGAAGAGTGCTAGGTCTTCTCTGAAACCTGATGCTAGTACACAATTTCAGAATCTCTGCAGGTAGTTTAGGTTGGTAATAAGAAAGTACGGAGTATGATCCAAAAAAATGTGCTGGGAAGGTGGCAGAATTTGAATAAAGATATAGTGAAATTATGTTTTAACGTAGGAGAAATTCTCCTATGTTGCTTCTCATTCTTTTCTGAACCAAATTTTCTGGCATACTTGAAAATACTACAAATGCTCTGATAAATAATAACTCACCGATTGAATTTGGCAAATATTCGTGGGTACTGTCTTTGGAGGATGTGTTCCACCATTGTTTGAAATCCGAACATTTTAAAATATACCTGTACTACCTGAAACTAATACCTGCTTCTGAAAGAATTATCACCTTGTAATTCCCTTACAAATATAAATCAAACACTCAGATGGTATTCCTTTGCAAAGATATCGTCGGCTTCATAAGCGATAATGGAGCAAACTCAACATCATTCAAGTCTAAATTGACTGAAGACGCTATCTTCATGTACTATGCAATGAGTGTGATGCAAAAAGCGAACTTTATAACAACACATCACTGGTTTAGTTGTCTCAATCCAATCTTTCGGCAATTTTCCACGGCCAGTCTTTTTAGATTTAAATTCCCGTACATCTGTTTCAGGTGTGATATCCTGCAACACTTTCGGCATTACTCATTGTAAGCATGCAAACTGAAATAGGAAATCATGTTCGAAGATGGATATATCGCATCATCATTCCTATCCTACTTCGATTGCAGTTGTAGTCGGTGTTACACTTGTGTTACTGTTTATTACTGAATGACAGTAAGAAGCGCTGTGGCTTACCGATTTTTTCAACAGGCTGTCATCATAGATATCAATAACGATTACCTCTCGCTTCTTTAATAATTCCGGACTTAAATCCAATGCCTTAAATAAAATTATTATCCATTTGCACATAAGTTATCTTCCGCTTCATGAATATGCCTTTTTTCCTGCCAAAAAGATGCATAATGCCTTGCAAGTAATTCATCATCGCTTTCTCGCACCAACTCATTTAATAAACCAAAATTCGTGCTCCATTCTGTGCAGAATTCATAATTAATTGGGAGGAAATTTTCCAGCTATAAATGCTTACATTTTCGGTATTGCCGTTGTCCGGTAGATGCATCGATTCAATACTAATGTAGAAACCATCCTTCATATAATCCGGATTCTGCCAATATAACATTTTCATGGTTTTGTGCTAAGGCAAGTACCACAGAAAAGGCGGAATATGACGCTTGCTAAGATAAATGTAATGTCCTATATCAGTGTTAATTAACGAAAGAGCAAGAAAGCATCAATAAGCCAACCTTAATAATTGTTTTACAATATGGGAATGCATTCCAGCATTGTTCGTGTAACACGAATGCTGCGTCCGGAAATAATCTACGTAAAGCCCACGGCGATTTCGACTTAGTACGATAAATTTTGTGTGTGTAAACACCGGTAATAGAATGTCCCGGACGGACTGTCGTACTTGTGAAGTCTTCATTTTCCAGCACCTGCAAAAAAAAAAAGGATCAAACAACAGTATCTAAACTTGAAAAATTGCAACATCCTCTTGATTCTGTCGTCTTGTAATTGATGCAACTGATTACCTGATCGACTCTTAGGTCTCAGATAAAAAAAAAAAAAAGAAATCCGACTAAACGAGTTTTAAAACCATTGCCCGGATTATGTGAACTGCAAAGAATTGATGCTTGTAGCTATAAAATAACAACAATATCGTTTTATTAGTTTCCAGATTCTATTTGCATTTAAAATCTGACTAATGAAATACCGAATTTTCGTTCCGGAAAACTGAGTTGACATTGTAAGAGGTTATTAGTAATTTTACTCCCTTTTTTTTTCCTTCTTTTTTAATTCTTTATTTTACCGGTGACATCTGTATAACTACCTCACTGATTGAGCCTCAAAATACTCTTAAATGCAACGCATCTTATGAGCTCCATCAGCATTTAATAATAATAGAAGATACCATAACGCCGTCGCCTCCTCCTGTCTCATTTTTACTCGTTTCTGATACTGCAAATAATTGCCCACGATAATATTCATCCAATTCAAGCGGCATTAGAATACGAAACTCCTCAAAATGTTGCTCCTTCAAATCCTAATAAGCCAATTGATGGATTGAATTAATTAAGAGTTGCTTTTCAAGGATTACAATTTGTATGGA